ATGCTACTCCAGGAGTAGCTCTTTCCGAATTCGATGATTGGTTATGCCCGTGAGTATGGCATTATCGATTTGAGTCGGATTGTAAATAAATTTGGAGAGGATCTCCTTTGTGAACTTGGTATGCGATTCTCCTTTATGACCTATTTCCGACATATTTCATGATTTGGATTCTAAACTTAGACTCTCTTTTGCAGTTAGCATGACGAGTGCTGAGTATAAAATTTTTTTGCCCAAGAAGTCTCCTCTTATAATACCGAGGTCTCGAAGAAGCAACGGGTTGATGCCATGCTTGGCAGCAGCTCGGTGGGCGGTGAGGTGATTATAACCGACGTTTTTTCTCCTTCCTCCTTGCTGCTTCCTCCTCCCTCAACCACTCCTCAAGGGACCCTGATTACTCTAGAGCCTGGGGAGTTGTGGAGGGTCGGGGTTTCTGACCGGCTTAGGGCCGCCCTGAAGCCTCCTCTGGAGCTCATTGGTGGCTCGGGCTTGACTTTTACTGTGAGGGCCTTGCTGGTGCGGTTGGAGGAGGACTCTTTGAAGACCACTTCTTTACTTCAAACCTTCCAAGATCTCAATCAGAGACTCGATTTGTCTGAGGCTTCCAACTTGTCCCTCACTATCAAGGTGGGGGAGCTGAGCAAGTCTAAGTCCGATCTGGAGATCAGGGTTCAAGAGTTGTCCTCCGAGCTAGACAAGGCTAAGAAGGATTTGGAGTCGGCTACTGCCAAAGCGGATGGCTTGAGTGCTGAGGAGGAGGTCCTCTCAAAGTCTATGGCTGACAAGGATGCCCAGATTCAGAGGCTTCAAGCCGATTTTGAGGAGGCTAAAGTCGTGGTCATAAATGCTGCCACCCAAGCCTTTGACAATGTCGTTGTTCAAGCCCGGGTTTTGAACCCTGGCCTCATTACTGATGGCATGGATGTGGCATATGATGTAAAGGATGGCACTATTGTTCCTGAGACTTCGGATTCTGAATATGCTGATGAAGAGGAGACTGAAGCCGAGGTTCATGTCGCTAACTCTCCTCGTGCTATGGAATGAAGGGGTCGGAATGTTGACTTTCATTTTGTACTTTTGTTATGGGGCCTTTGAGCCCCTTTTTTATTTTATCTGGACATATTTGCTGCTTTAGGTCGGCTTTGATATTTTTTGCACTGGTTTTATTTTTCCGAGATCGTTGCTTTGCTTCACCTTTACTTATATGTTCGAGGTTCTTTTTCGATCTCGTATCATTCGACTTGCGATTGGCCGAGGTTTCATTTAATTGATCTAGGATTATTTTTTTGTTCGTCGACAAAATTTTCATTCCTTTGTTCGATCGTGAAGCTCTTATGGCTTCAATTACTTGAATAGAAATCGATACGCATTGATAACACAATTGAGGTCACTGCTCATTTTATTTGCATTTCAAAGGAAATCTATTTACAAGGCCGAGCTTAAGAGCTCGTTTTATTTTCTTCGAAATAAATCTACCTACTGACTGAGCTTAAGAGCTCGTCTTATTTTCGTAGAAATAAAGCTTAAGAGCTCGTCTTACTATCTCGAAAGTCAGACTTCAAGCCTAACTATAGTAGACCTTTAGCTTGTCCGCGTTCCAAGTTCTCTTTACTGGTTTCTTAGAGATAGTTTCCAAGGTGTAGGCTCCATTTCCCAAATTTTCCTTGATTTTGTAGTGGTCTTCCCAGTTCGCGGCGAGCTTTCCATCTCTGGCATTCTTGTTGCCGATGTTGGCTCTTCTTAGCACCAAGTCGCCGCTCTGAAATGACCGAGGTCTGACCTTCTTATTGAATCTAGTAGTTACTAGGCGCTTTGCCATCATATTCTTATATCTGGCATTCTCCCTGCATTCATCCAATAGGTCAAGTTCTATAGTGAGTGCCTCCCTGTATTGACCTTCAGTTCCTTGTAATCTCTGTACCCTCCTCCAGGATGGTTCGCCGATTTCTACCGGAATCATGGCCTCGCACCCATATGTCAGCTTGAAGGGGGTTTCTTCAGTGGCGGATTGGGTGCTTGTCCTGAAACCCCACAAGACGAGGTGTAGTTGTTGCACCCAATTTCCTTTGGCATCGAACAACTTTTCTTGAGCCCGTTGATAATCACCTTGTTAGCAAACTCGGCTTGTCCGTTGGTCTGAGGATGTTCCACTGATGCAAACCAATGTGTGATCTTGAAGTCGGTCATTAACTCCTGGAACTTTTTATCAGCGAACTGTGTTCCATTGTCTGTGATGATCTCTACAGGAATTCTGAATCGGCTAATCAAGTTTCTTTCAAAGAATCTTTGAATCCTGGCTGAGGTAATGGTGGTGAGGGGTTTGGCCTCGATCCATTTGGTGAAGTAGTCGACTGCCACTATCAACCACTTGAGCTGTCCTTCAGCCGTGGTGAAGGGTCCCAACAGGTCCATCCCCCATTTGAAGAATGGCCATGGTGCCGTGATAGTTTGCAGCTCTTCAGGGGGTGCTCGAAGGATGAGTGCGTGCTTCTGACACTGTTCGCACCTTTTGACGTGCTCCTTCGCGTCTGCCTCCAAAGTAGGCCAGTAATATCCTGCCCTCAGTGCCTTCCTAGCTAGGGCTTTTCCTCCCATGTGATGTCCATTTATGCCTTCATGGATCTCGGCCAACGCATATTTAGCTTCATTTTTATTTAGGCATTTCAGCATGGGTGTGTAGAAGCCCTTTTTGTATTGTTGCCCTTCTACTATGGTGAAGCAGGCCGAGTTCTTAACAAGTTTTTTGGCCTCTTGTGTCTCGTCTGGCAGGACCCCTTTTTCCAAGTAGGCCAATATTGGCCTTATCCAATCCTCAGCCGCGGTTATAACCATGATGTAGGTCGGCTCTAAGATGCTTTGCTGTGTCACGGTTCGGTGATTTCCCAATCCATTCGAGCTAGCGAGCTTTGACAGGATGTCCGCCCTGCTGTTTTCATTTCGGGGTATATACTGGATTATTACCTCGTCGAATTCGGCCAACAGCTCCTTGACTTGTTGGAGATATTTTATCATGAGAGGTCCCTTAGCTTGATATTTTCCTTCAACTTGTGAAGTTACCAGTTGCGAATCACTGAGGATTTTTATCTTTCTTGCTCCGTGCTCCTTTGCTTGCACAATCCCTGATATGAAAGCCTCATATTCATCTTGGTTATACGAGGTTGGGAATGCTAGGTGAAATGAATGTTCAATGGACACTCCCTTCGGGCTTTCAATTATTACCCCAGCTCCGCTGCCTTTAGAGTTTGAGGATCCATCGACGTATATCGTCCAGAGATCTTCATTCCCTTCTCTATTTTCTTTGGATGGGGTTAACTCCAAGATGAAATCGGCCAGCGCCTGAGACTTGATTGCCTGCCGAGGTTGGTATGAAATGTCGATCTCGGAGAGCTTGACAGCCCAGTTAATCATCATCCCAGCTAGATCCGGCTTGTGTAACACTTGCCTGATGGGCTGGTTGGTTCTCACGACTACTCGGTGCCCTTGGAAGTAAGGTCGGAGTCTCCTTGTCGTGATAAGGAGAGCCAACGCCACCTTATCGAGCTTCTGGTAACGGAGTTCAGGTTCTTGCAGCGTCCGGCCTACGAAGTAGATCGGCTGTTGTGATTTGTCGGTCTCCTTTACCAAAGCGGCGTTGATGGCCTCTTCGCCCACAGAAAGGTATAAGATCAATGTTTCTCCGGGCTTGGCTTGTACAATATGGGGGGGTGGCCAGGAAACTCTTTATATTTTTAAATGCCCTTTTGCATTCTTCCCCCCATCCGAACTCTGCGTCCTTTTTAAGGAGCTTAAAGAAAGGCAAATCCTTTTCTGCTGACTTGGGCAGAAATCTTGTTAAGGCCGCAAGGCGACCCGTGAGTTGTTGAACTTCTGTCTTGCTTTCTGGTTGCTTCATCTTGAGGATGGCCTTGCATTTGTCAGGGTTGGCCTCAATTCCCCGGTTGGTGAGCATGAAGCCCAAGAATTTTCCAGCTGGTACTCCGAAGGCGCATTTGGCCGGGTTCAATATGATCTTTCGAGCTCTTAGTTGCTCGAATGTTTCCCTGAGGTCGGCTATATGTGTAGTTATATGCGCTGACTTGATGATCATGTCGTCAATGTACACCTCTAGGTTTCTTCCAATTTGATCTTAGAAAACACGGTTCATCATCCGTTGGTAGGTTGCCCCTGCATTCTTGAGGCCAAAAGGCATGATGTTGTAGCAAAAGTTTCCCTTTTCCGAGATGAACGAGGTCTTCTCGTGGTCATCGGGGTGTAGTGGGATTTGGTTATACCCGAAGTATGCGTCCATGAAAGATAGTAGCTAAAATCCTGACAAATTGTCAACTAGCTAGTCAATGTTTGGCATCGGGTACGAATCTTTCGGGCAGACCTTATTGAGGTCGGTGTAGTCCACGCAAATTCTCCACTTCCCACTCGGTTTCTTCACCATCACCACGTTGGACAACCAGGTGGTGTATTTTATTTCCCTTATGAAACCGGCCTCCAACAGCTTCAAAGCCTGACGTTGGTCAGATCCTATCTTCCTATTCTTTTGGGACACTGGTTTTGATCCCGGGTACATAGAGAGCTTATGACAGCAGAAAGATGGGTCTATTCCTGGGATCTCCGAAGCCTTCCATGCGAACACGTCGAAGTTTTCACTTAAGAAAGCAGCCAGCTCCCTTTTGAACTCGTCCTCAAGGCCCTTCCACCTTAGTGTGCCCTTTTCCTTCCTTCCTAATACTGACGTCTTCTAGCTCTCCTTGGGGTTCTGGACGAGGGGCTTGGAGCTCCTCCCTTATGTCCAGCTCCACCAAGTTTACTTCATTTCCACATGGGTGTATAGATTGGTCCTTACCACCATGATTTTTGTGCCGAGGGGGAGAGGACAGGCCTCCTTGATTTACTCGTAGGGTCTCATAGTAGCACTCCCTGGATTCTTTCTGATCCCCACTTATGGGGATAACTTCGTTCTTTTCCCCCGACATCTTCAGGGCTTGATGCTTGGTGGAGATCAACATGTCTCAGTCGTGTATTGTAGGTCGACCAATGATCACATTGTAGGACGACTCGGTGTCTACTACGATGAAACGAACCCTTCCAGCACGGAATGAGTCCTTCGTCCCTAAGGTCAGCTTCAAATCAATGTAGCCCTTTGGGGGGGATGACACTCCATTGAATCCGACCAGCTCGGTGATGCATGGTTTCAAGTCCTTCTCGTCCGGGTTCATCCTTTGAAAAGCGTCCCAGAGAAGTATATCTGCCGAGCTCCCGTGATCAATAAAGATTCTCTTAACCCGGCAGTTGACTAGCACTCCAGTGATCACTAAGCCGTCAGTGTTTCCGGGTACAACCATTTCTAGTTCCTCCTGAGTGAAGAACAATCTTGGGGGGGGTAGAATTTATGGCTTTTCCTTTGAAGGTTGGCCTGTCTCTTACTGACATAACCTCCTTCAGGTACTTTCTTCTTGCGTTGGACGTGTCTCCTCCTCCACCCAGAGCTTCGCTTATCACATTGCACTCAAATTCGGCTTCCTGAAAAACCTCATATTTATCTTCGACCTCTTTGCCCTTTGTAGGGCGGTCTTGTCTCTGATCCTTTCTATCCTTTCTCTTCGGGCTCCGACTTAGGCTCCGGCTTCTCCGCCTTCGCTTATTATTTTTCTTGCCCTGAGTTCTGATGATGTATTGTTTCAATTTCCCATCTCTGATGTGTTTCTCGATGGCATCTCGGAGGTCCCAACAGTCATCCGTGATGTGACCGTTCTGGTCATGGAAAGCGCAATATTTGTTTCTATCCAATCCACTCTTGGCCTTCAGGGGTCGAGGTATCTCGACATTGCGCATTTCAGTCTGGGCCACCTCTTTCCATATCCTAATCCTGGACATGTTCAAAGGCGTGTAATCATCATATTTGCTCCTTGGGGATCGGTTATCCGACCTATTCTCTCGAGTGTCCTTTCCCTTCTTCGCCCCTCGTTGATCTCGGTCTTTGTTTTTCTTGCTTGGACTCCTGTGATTCGGGCTTCGACCTCTGGATTCCCCATAAGCCTTCTGCATGTCCTCCACGTCAATGTACTTGTCCGACCTTCGTCGGAACTCCTCCAGGTCATTGACCGGGTTCTTGTAAATTGGCTTTGCCAGTGGAGAATCGCCATCTAATCCCGAGATGATCAGATGCAAGTGTACTGGCTCAGTTAAATTCCAAACCTTTAGGGCGGCATCTTTGAACCTATCGAGGTATTTCCTCAATGATTCATTCTCCTTTTATCAGATTCTTCCCAAGGCGTAGGCCGGCATTGGATGCGCCTTGCTTGTTGCGAAATTCAACCAGAAAGTTCGGGCTAGGTCCTCGAACGAGTCAATCGAGTTCCTGGGAAGCCTGGTTATCCAGGCCATTGCCTGGCCTGTTAACGTCGTCGCGAAGATTCTGGCCTTGATAGGTCCAGTTATCCCATTGAACAACATTTCGGTCTTGAAAGCCTCTAAATGGGCCTCCGGGTCTTGACTTCCGTCGTACGGTGGTATCTTGGCACTCTTGAATCTCGGCGGTATTGCCAATTTCATGAGCCTTTCAGTGAATGGGCTATCGTTAAGGAGATAATTATCTCCTTGGTTGTTGACTGGTCCTCCGCCCTCCTAGTGGTTGTCATGGCGGGGATTCTGCATATTTCCTTATGCCGTGGCCGCGTTTTGATGTTGTGGCTCATTAGCCTGGCCTGCGCATCCACCTCGGCCTGCTCCTCCAGCTCGTCCCACAAGGTTTTGATTTCGTAGCTCAGCCTCCAGCGCCTCCATCCTCTGGGCATTCAGCCCTTGTTGAGCCAAGAATCTGTTCTCCATCTCCTGCATCCTTTGGAGGATCGCATTCATGGCCACAATGGTTATGTCCCTGGATTGTTCACTATGTGGAGGTGGGCGCACTGAGTCCGCTGTCGTGTTGGGCTGGGTTCTGGAGGGCAGTCCTTGAGTGCCGACCTCGCTGGCCTGGACCTCTACTAGCACAGGGGTCGCGGCTGATTGGAGCTGTTCCAATGCAGGTTGGTGTGACGGCATACCATAAGGCTGAGGCTGAGATTGGTGTGGCGGCATTTGGGCAGTGCTGGACGTCGAACGGGTGTTCGTCATTGTGGAATAGGAATCGAAATTTATCGTTCCCACATACGACACCAATGTTAGGTCCTGGATAGACCGTATTGCTATACCGTGAGGTATGCGCTCAGAGATAGTGTATAATCAGATGTATCCTAGGCTTATAGCCGAGGTCCCAATCACTGCACACAAGCAATAGGCTTATAGCCAAGGGGTGGGTGTGTGCTCAGTGTGGGCAGTATTCGTAAATAGGTTAGAAGTGTGTACTTGGGGTCCTTAGGCTCTTATTTATCTCGATTACCTTCTTAGGCTTGGGCCTTTTGAGCTCCCCAGATTGCATTAGGGTTCAGCTCCCTTTCAGTTGGGATGTAACCCTTATCTTTTGCCCTTTGACTGTTTAATGTTGTTGAGATATTCATGAATCTATCTCTTAGTAGATTCTTAGATGAGTAGTTGAGATATAATATTCATATCCATAACATAAATTAATACAATTTTTTAACTCAGTAAAAATATAGTAGTTAAATTACTCATCCAAAAAAAGTTAAAGAGAAAAACAATATAGAGATACAAAAATCATCACAATTCTTTCGCAGAAACAATATCAGAGAAAAAAAAGTTACAAACTTAAAATAAATAATCTCATTAATAACATTTTGAGCTTTTAAAGTAAACTGTATATTTAAAATAGTGAAATCCAAATGAGTAACTGTCAATAAAAAATGAGTGAAATGAATTGATCCCATTAAATTTTATAATAATTATTAAATATCTTAAGATTTTAAAAATTTAATTCATAAATAATTCTTAGTTTTATAATTGAAGTCAACTTGATTTAGAATTTTTATTTGCAGCCTTTTTATAGACGCTAAAGCTTTACAATTTATTCAAGAAATGGAAAAGAAAGAAAAAAGGTATTAAGAAGTGTCAGTGGTGGACCCAAATTTTTTTATTTATATTTGCACATTTACTTATTCCGTTCGAATTTTAGACTTAATGCCAAGACAATAACATTGTAACAATACATGATTTAAAGTGTGATAGTCCAATTCCTAAGGAAATTGCTTCTTGCCGTAACATACATTAGAGAAATAATGATAAAAAATAAACAACCAAAGGAACTAAATACATAGATTACTTAAATAAGAGAAAAAAAAGGAAAAGACTTGGCCTTCTTGTCGTTTTCACATAATAAAATATTAATTATTTAACGTACTACATTTAAATTACATATATACAAATATAAAAGGTTTTCGATTTGGTCCCTCTTATCACCAGAGTGATCATCTTTGTATTGTCTAACATATTTCCTTCACTATCCAACGTCGCTGACTTCTGAGTTTCCTTGATTTCAATCCCTATCTTACGTGTTTATGTCTGCATTTGCAGTCACCTGCACATGAGTAGGTCCGCCATTGAGAAGTGTGTTTCTTTTCTAACATCATTGGAAAAAAAAATAAAGGTTTAAATTTTTGATGAAAAAAATGTGTGCGAAATATTACAAAACATTTTATATCAACTCACATTAATAAATTTATTTTACATTATTTTCATAAAACTATTTGGCGCATGTACTAAAAAAATGAATAGTTTGTAACAAATTAGTGATATGAAATTACTAATTTTGGTATCTTATTTCATAAATTTAGCTGGACAGATAATTAAGAATAAAAAAAATATCTAATAAATAATAATGAGTTTTTATTTATTTATTTTTATTTTTTTGGGGATATATTAATTCATTACTCTTGCAAAGCGACTATGGTGAAAGCCAAATATTCAAAAAACAAATTTTCGCCCATACCATTATTCAAACGATCACTTTTATTTATCCACGTGACCTGGCACCCATGGCTAATAATGGTTTAAAAGTCGGACTACGCCAACCGAAATAAATAAATAAATAGATAAATAAATAAATAAATAAATATATATATATATATATATTTATATTTAGGAGAATGATATACTTATCATCAAAAAAATTTATTACCGTTACAATCAACTTAATTACCGTTGATTTCTGTCAATCTAACAGTTATACTTTATTTTAAATTACTGGGTTGTACTTATTAAATAATTATTAATTATCAATAAATTATAACCGTTAGATTGACGAAAATCAACGGTGATTAGTAGGGGTGTTCATCAACCGATCCAAATCGATTCAAACCGCGATAACCGAACCGAAAAATCGATAACCGAATAAACCGAAAATCGAAAAATCGAAAACAGAAAAAAACCGCAAATTTTTTTCCCTACTTGGGTTTTTCCCTAATCATAGCCCAAAAATTTCTAAATCCAAGACCAATTAATCCATCAATTAAACCCAAGAAAAAATCTAGTCACATCTCATCAATAAAATTTTATCTTTGTAAACCTTCATATCTCATTGCAAAAAAAAAAAAAATTATATTATAGTTTATTAATGCTTTTGTATTTAAAAATAAAATAAAATTACAAAGCCAATATATACAAAGATGTAATTTGCACAATAATCAAGAAATAAATTTTGGGATTTTTGAAAAACCGAAAATCGATCCAATCCAAACCGAAAAAAATGGGATTAGATCGGATCGGATTTGAAAAAAAATCCAAACCGAATGCATGATTATATGATCACACCGAAAAGATTGGATCAATGATTTTTGCTTCTAAAACCGATCCAATCCAGTCCGCAAACACCCCTAGTGATTAGATTGATGGTAAAAGTGATAAATATTTTTTGTGATAAGTATATCATGCCCCATTTATTTAATAGGAAAAAAGTTGTTAAACTCATAATTGATTAAACCGGTTGGCGTAGTCCGACTTTTAAACCATTAGTTATCAAAGTCGTTAAAAATGCATATTTATTATCACGATGCATCGATAAAAATGTATATTTATTAGGAAAAAAAGTTGTTAAACTCAAATCATAATTGATTAAATAGGTTGGCGTAGTCCGACTTTTAAACCATTAGTTATCAAAGTCGTTAAAAATGCATATTTATTATCACGATGCATCGATAAAAATGTATATTTATTAGGGGAAAAAGTTGTTAAACTCATCATTGATTAAACCGGTTGGCGTAGTCCGACTTTTAAACCATTAGTTATCAAAGTCGTTAAAAATGCATATTTATTGTCACGATGCGCCGTTAAAAATGTATATTTATTAGGAAAAAAGTTGTTAAAAACGTGAGAGATGCTTCTTTGAAGATTGCTTTATAGCATTAAATTATGAGTTTTATATCAGTTATGTTGTAGGAAAAATGATTATGTAATGTTATAGAGATTCGTTTTGCGTGCCGTAATTTTTTTTTTTCTTCAAAAAATATGGGCCAACAAAATGTTGTGTGTATAAAAAAATTTGTTGTGTCATGTTAAATGAGAAATGAAAACCTTTAAATTATTTCATACTCTTATGACGCGGCTTTAGATTGGGGTATCTGCTTACGTACCCATGCATGATGGATGATGCAATCCTGACACTTCTTTCAGAAATTGGGACAGTCTCATTATGTGTATTTAAAGGGGTATCTTAGTCGCTTAGACTCATATCAGCCAGTGCTGAAGCTATAAGTTTCTGGTGTTTGAGAGTGTGGCTGCTTTTGCTGATTCATTATTGTTACATCTTTCTTTCTTTTTGTTGTTTCTCTTTTCTTACCTCTTCCTTTTCCTGTTAAGTGGTTCGTAATCATTGCCCTTTGAAGAGCTAGCTATATTTTTTTTCCTTCTTTCTCTCTGTACCCATTTGTCCTAGCCTAATAGCAGGACATGGCCGCCATAGCAAAGGAAAATGATAAGAGAGATAGTACACAGGAAAATGATGAGAGAGATTGTACACAGGAAAATGATAAGAGAGATTGTACACAGGAAAATGATAAGAGATGGGCAGATTCTGTATTAACGATGGTAAGATCTGTCGACAGTCCTTATGGTGGTTATGTTCAACCATGTAGCATTTCGATAGTTCCAGAAGGACTTGAAGAATTGAATGAGGATGCTTACGTGCCAAAGGTTGTCTCCATGGGACCCCGATACAGGGGAACCAAGGAACACTTGGTGCTAATGGAAAAGATAAAATTGCACTGCATGTCGTCTCTCCTTCACCGAAGTAAGGGAACGACAGCACCGCTATGCTTGGAGGAATGCACCAAAGCCATTTTGGAATTAGATGAAGTAGTTCGAGCAAGCTACGTAGTTGACATCAAACTCACCAGGTACGAACTCGCCCAAGTTATGTTAGTAGATGGGTGCTTTTTGCTAGAGCTTCTCATATCAAAGAATTCCAAATTGAATAAAGATCTAAAAAGCCGCTTGGAGCCTGCTGGTCCTGGACCTGAAGTGATAAAACACGAAGAGGTCTTGTCCGATCTTATACTGTTAGAGAACCAAATACCGGTTCTCGTTCTCCACGAGTTGTCTCGAATACTTTTCCCCAGCGAGTTCACAAAAAAAGATAGTGTGGCCGTAATTAATGGTCTTGCCTTGTCTCTATTAGGCCTCCAAGAGTTTCCCAGCCCTGATGATAATTCCCCTCACCTTCTTGAACTCGTCCACTCTTCCATTGTGAAAGGTAAGGAAGTAATTATACAACCTGAGGAAACTAAGCCATATATGTCGCTAGTTGTCAAGAATCCTGGGGAGGTGAAACTGAAGCGCTGTGCTACAAGGCTCCAAGCTGCTGGGGTTACTATCAAACTCCCATCCAGATATACAAACCCTGCCAGTTTGAAAGGCAACTCTTTTGGTCGTATGCTTGGGAATATGTTTGGGGCTAAGCAAGTTGATATGCCTGCAGTACTGGAATTTAAAAATTTGGACTTTGACATTAAATTCAATGAAGGTACACTAGAAATTCCACAGCTGCATATCACAAAAACAACAAAAGCCAGGTGGCGCAATGTCATTGCTTGGGAGCATTATAAAAAGGACTGGAGGAATTCTTCCATGACACGACGACAGATAGAAGCTTCGTATCATGGCTCAACGGCTCTGACTTTCAGCTACTCTGCATTGTTTTTTAATGGATTGATCTGCTGTGCCGCTGATGTTCAACTTCTTAAGGACAATAATATTATTGTGGATCATTTGAAGATGAAAGATCAAGATCTGAAGGACTTTTTCTTTGCCATCTCAAAGGGAATTGACCATGAAATGTGGGACGCGAAAGGTACTCAACTTTTTGATGATTTGAACAACTACTCGGCAGCATATCGCGTCATCCGAAGCTGCAAAATATGGTGGCATAATTTCATTCCCTATTTCGCAAAACAAATAGAAAAGCTTATTAAGTTTATGAAGACCGACTACAACTTTGTTGCTGTAGTGTTGTCCGCTCTCGCTATTCCGCAAACTATTTATGCAATCGTCTCCTATTATCAACACAAATAATTCCTGCTCACCTGTTTCGCCTTCTTGTCTCCTCATTATGAAGCCCGACCACAACTTTGTTGCAATACTACTGGTGTCTCCTCTACCTATTCTGCAGGCTGTTTCTGCAATTTTTGCCTATTTTAATTAATTAATTCCTGTTCATTGGTTTCGTCTTCGTATTTGTTATCCTTTTGTCTGCAATGGTGAAACCATTGTTTATTATATGGCCTTTAAGTAATTTATTTGTTTATTTTCTATCCTTTTTTATGGAATGAGGAAACCATATTATCTATTGTAAGTCTTTGACTCTGATATATCCGCACCGGAAGAAATTTTCAATAACAATTCATCCATAGAATCGATGTATATATGATTAATAAAACATCAAATGAAAAACTAACATTCAAGAATAAGGAATACCTACTTAGGCCATCTGATCTATAGAATAAATTTGAGTGAGTTGTTCCTCCTGCTCAGGTCTATCTCTCTGTGTCCTATACTGAATAAGGCAGCCTTTCTTGCAATAGGAGCATAACTCTAACCCTAGTGTATAGGCTACAGAGGTGATCAAACATAACTCTAGTCAAGTGTGTCTGATAGCTCCACTCATCACAAAAGTCCAATTAGATACCAATGTTAACATTGTGCTACCTAACTAAGCCCAGTACCAATAGATGCCAAATGTAACACTCCGTATATATCCGATTTGTTATCATATCATCATGTTAAGCCACGCTTAATTTAAAAATGCGGAATATCTTTTTCTTTTCAATTATAACGTCATTATGATTAACCAAGTTGAATTACTTAATTCATTTCATAAAACATCCCCTGTATGTAAATTGCAAAAGACAACTAACTGAAATACCTCATAACATAGATCTGAGTATCTAAGTCACGAATCTACAACACGTAGCCCGGACAATATCCTAATACATTATTAATTACAACTAGAAACAACGAAACATAAAGTCAAGTCAAAGTGGCATGGACAATCCCCATGCTCACCCAAATAAGGCAACAAAGCCCCACAGCAGTCTCAACAATAACATCATGAAGCTAAAAGCATAAAAGGAAACAGTCAATATCCAGCATCCAACATAAGCAGCAAAACAACATACAAATCAGCTAAGCTCCGGCCTCCTACTGCCAGAGGTCTCAACCCCCGCATTATCTGAACCTGAAATATGTGCACCAAACGTGGGGTGAGATCTCTAAAAAGAAATCTCAGTAAGACAAGGGGTCCTCAAGGATCTTCCACCCCAAGCTCACTTACACGTGCAATATAAGTTCAAAAGCATTTAACAGTATAAGTTTCAAAACTATGCAGTGCAACAGATATTCATGCCATGTGTGTTATCACTATTCTACTGGCCAGAGAATTGCAGGACGTACGTCTACAACCCCACAATAAGTACAAGGAACACCGCTTGCACCTCACCCACAGTCTTACCATCTTGTATGTACCATATACTCAGGCTTACCGTATAGGTGGAACACCACATGCATATCATAAAGGCTATCGCATATAACAGCTCAACAGCATTTCACAAGTCAATATATCATGAAAATAACATCATGCATATAACCATACCCCCATGGGACATGGTGGAACCAACAATGGCTAAACCGAGGACACGAAAGCTTTCCTTGCAAGCTAACTATCCACTGCCAAGAGTCCACACTGGCTCAAAGCCCAAACACAGCAGAATCACAATCTGTTTCGGACAAACAATATATCATATTATTCATGCTTAACAAGTATAAGACACAAAGACAACGCCTTTCTTTTACGTTTTACGTCTTTAAGCTTCTCACAAAGCCACAAGCCCTTAATCTCTTAGATTCTGACTTACATTAATCATTACAGAAGTCCACAGTAGCCAATCATGGGTCCACAAACCTAAAATAGCATTCTGTATGAACAATACCTTCACTATTCATGAAAACCCAGAATATCCGGATATTTGTTGGGGGCATATCTGGATATCAATATCCAGATATCTCTCTTCCAATATCCGGATAGGATATTCAGATCCCTATATCCGGATATCAATATCCGGATATTTCGCGACAGGATACAGTTCTGCATTTCGCGAGATATCCTTCCCAAAGGTCCAACTTTTATCGATTACAGAAGCTTAAACATGCATTTCTAGGTGTGTTTAGCATTACCCAACCTTAAGTTATCAACTTTAGCTCATTACATGCATCAAGATTCCATTTTTAAGCCTTAAAACTCATGATCAAGGTTGCCAACACTTACCCAAGCTTCAAACAGAAGCACAAGGTGCTCTTGGAGCTCACTTGAAGCTCCCAAAGTCCAGCACACCCAAGGACACGAAAATGGTGCACACAAAAGGTCCTTCCTCTCCAAAGGTTGCTTCTTGGATCACCAAACACCAAGACTATGACACCACAACCCCAAAACCGGAAACTCAGTCCCTCACACCCCTCAAGGCAGTGCCAAAACTCAGAATGATGCACCCTCTCCACTCACAATACACTACACTAAGTGTTTGTTAAAGAAACCAAGAAGAAAGATGTCTTTTTGGCTCACAATTAGGGGTGTTAACGGGCTGAGCCGAGCCGAGCTTTGATTTTAACGGGGCAAGCCTGTATTTAAACATGTCAGACTGGCCTTAGCCTGTTACCTGTTACGAATATAATATTAGCCTGTGGCCTGGTTCGTTTACAAAAAATAAAAACCTGTCTCAAGCCTGTGGCCTGTTTATTTATTAAAAATAAAAACCTTACCTTCCAATTTATAGCAGTATTTAGCCCATTAATCATGCACTGATATGTATTTTTTTGTAAGAAAATAATAGTTGTTTCTTGTATAATAAAAAAACATTAATATTAAAAAATCAAAATAACAACAGTACCTTTACTTTATTTTACATTGCTTTTCCTTAATTTTCTTCCACATTCTAGATTTTTTACATTAAATTTTCTTCCACATTCCTTAATATTCTAGATTTGAACCCCGCCAATAAATTTTCTTCCACGGTCGCTGCCATAAGCATCATTATAAGCCTTGGAATCCGCATGACTTATAAAAATAGATGATGAACATGACTTCATTTACCTGTTGGTGGGACGATGACTTAGATCGGGGAGAAGAGATAGAGCAGAGACAGAAAACTGAGAAAATCACTACTAGAAAAAAATTTTATAGTGACAGAATTGTTATGGAAATTCTGTCGCTAATTTCATCCGCGCTACTACTTTTCGTCACAAATTTCCTCGCAAAATAATTTGCGAGGGAATTTGTGACAAAAAGTAGTAGTGACGATGAAATTAGCGACGGAATTTCCATAACAATTCCGTCACTATACAAGTTTTTTCTAGTAGTGAATGATGTTGAAATGATTAATATAAAAATATAAAAAATAAATAAATTTAATGTATACGGGCCAGCCTACAAGGCTTCAAGGCCGGGCTTGGCTATGGAAGCCTGAGGCCTTTTAAATAAAAAGGCTTTTGCATGAGTATAAGTCTGGGCTTAATAATAAAAGAAGACGAGCCGAGCCGAGCCGAAACAGGCCGGGCCTAAGGCCCCTGGCCTTATTATCACCCCTACTCACAATGTAAGAACCTGCATCGTTAATTAAGGAAATTAATTAATTATATATGAGAATTAGGAAATAATTTCATAATTGACCCTAATAATTATTATGAGGCTTAAATAAGTATGTTAAGTGGTTAAGAATGCTGAAAGTCGCTTTTCGGAAGAAAAGTGCAGATACCGGTTCTGCTAGTCAGTATAAATGCGTACCGAAAAAGTATCCCGAAAAATTATAATAAGTGCATGATAATTCCTAGAATAATATATAGGACTTGTAAAACGAGTTTCAAGTTAAAATAATGAGAACTGGTGCCAGAAACTGATACTGGCTATGAAAAATGCGTACCGGAAAGGTGCTCCAAAAAATATAATAAAAATATGATAATTTTTGTAAAATTGAGTAGGTTAAGAATCCTGAGTTTGGGATTAAAATGCTAAGCATAGCATTTAGCGCTAATACTGTGTGTTTAAGTGTTAAATGGCTATATATATGCAAGTATGGCTCAAAACCCTAGGTGCCACTCTTTTCCTACGTGAGTTTCTTGGAGGCTGACCAAAAAACATTATTCCATTTCCTTCCCTTCTCCATTCTTGAGCTTTGAGGCCATTTCCTTTCATTTCTCTTCTCCTAAACACTTGGTGAGAGTGAGAGTGACCTTGGGGGTGAGTGGTCAGCTTGTTGCTGAGTTATGGACTCTGTTTTGAGGAGTTCCTTGGGTTGAGTTGGAGGGTTGTAGCTTTGTTCTTGGTTGTTGAAGCTCCTAGTGGTCATCTTTGTGAAGAAAGGAACCACCTTGCTGTACATTTTCGTGCACCCTTTGTGTCAGCACCTTGAAGCTGACTTGTGAGCTCCAAGAGCACCTTTGGTTGGCTGTTTTGAGCTTTAGTTAAGTTGCCTAACCTTGATCATGAGTTTTAATGGTTTAAAGGTGGTGTCTTTGCATGTAAATGGGTTAAACAAGTAACCAACTGGTATGTGGACTTAAAACAGATTATAGATGCATGCTTTGACGTTTTAAAGTGTTAAAAATAGTACCTTAGAAGGATATCTTCGCGAAATGCAGAAACTGCATTCTGTCACGAAATATCCGGATATGGTATCTGTAAGAACCCGCACCGTTAATTAAGGTATTTAATTAATTAATTATGCAAAATTAGGAAATGATTCCATAATTGACCCTAATAATTATTATGAGGCTTTAATAATTATAGTAAGTGAGTAATAATGCTGAAAGTCGCTTTTCGGAAGAAAAGTGCAGATACCGGTTCTGCTAGTCGGTATAAATGTGTGCCGAAAAAGTATCCCGGAAAATTATAATAAGTGCATGTTAATTACTAGAATAATATGTAGGACTTGTAAAACGAGTTTCAAGTCCAGATAATGAGAACTGGTGCTAGAAACCGGTATTGGCTTGAAAAAGCGCGTACCGGAAAGATGCTCAGAAAATTA